CGTCCGCTTTATTGCACGCGACGTTGCACCATCGATAATGACAGTCTCTCGGTGCGTGGGTATTTCCACGCGCTGCAGTAGAGATAAGTGCTCGAGACGATCGATGATCGAGAGTTCGTCGAACTTTAAAACACGTAGTCGGACAATTAGTCATTACGAGATCGATCCCGAACTCTCTCGCTTTCTGGCTGAAAGTAGAGCGAGTCTGGAACGAGAATCTTTCTTTCGATCTTATGTACATAGAAAACATGAACAGCCTGACGCGGGAGGGGAAGGAGGAAGCGAAAAGATATAACTTTGAGGATACATGCGAAATGATAACTTAGTTTTATCAACTAAACGCCAGTAGCTGATTTGAACTTATACTGAAATGCTTGAAAATTTATTTGTAAGGTAAAAGTTTATTTTACAGAAACAAACTTTATCTCGCAGAAAAATGAACTTTGTTTCGTAGAAATAAACTTTATATTCCACAAGTAAATTTTTTATTTTTTTCTCAGTGTAGCTACCATACTTATTTTTTCGCTATTGCTATAACATTGTCATCTAAAAAGATATGACATAATTCTTATCGGAATTCTTTCATTATATTATATCTTCAAAAGGGATCTTCTAAAAGCCTAACTGAAAAAAATACTTGAAGATTTATTTATTTAAAGATAGAAAGTTCATTCGCAGAAATAAATTTTATTTGGCAATAAAAACATAAATTTTATTTTATAGGAGTAAGATTTGTATCGCAAAAATAAACTTTATCCCGCAAGTAAATTTTCAAGTATTTTTTCTCAATGTGCAACAAAAAAGAATATTCTAATACCCTAAAAAAGAACTCAAGTCGCAAGATATTTCCTATAATCTCATATTTTAAGCAAAATCTTTTCCACTGAAAGTATTTCTCTTCTAATGAAGAAAAATAATACCGTGCTTAGAATAGTTTTCTTTTAGTTTTAAAAGAATCCTCTGAGGCCACGTAACAGGATTCCATTAAAGATGAGATTATACTTTTTGAATGGTGAATACATTTTCGAAGTTCGAAAATCAGCTGAAATTAAAAACGTACATTAGCGCGAGTAGCTAAGGAAGTTAAGCGGCTATTTCCAAGTATCCTATATGCGCATTAAAAGGCCATCTGTTTTCGTCGCCGAATATTTCTCGCTCCAGCGGCTAAGTGCAAATAGCTAATGAATTGAGCCCCAGCAACTTTAGTCGCTTCCTCTTTCCAAGAAACATCCCAGCTGCCACGGCTACATCTTAGCTTCCTCTACTAATCCGTTTTCTGCGTGATAGATCGAGACGAGACAGTAGCTTGGTGTCTGTGTGTGTGTGTGTATGTTGTCTGTGTGTGTACGAAGCGATGAAAAATATAATTACGCAGATTACGAAGTTCACGAGGAAGAGTGAACAGTTTGCGCGAAGGAATGTAGGAGAACTCATTTGCATATTAGAGAGTACGCGCAAATATAAACACTGCGCGCGCGTGAGCGGTAATTCGAAAATCATTCTCGGCGTTTCTCTCGAGCGATCTCACGTTGCTGAAGCAGTGGGAGTGTTCTTTCGCGCGGCTTCGGAAAAATTGAATATATTCCGCGATAAATCACGGGCGCGGTATCACGGGCGGGTGGGCCAAGAGGAAGCGCTAATTAATGAGAATGACGACTCGAGCAGACGAGGCGTCGCAAGATAGCGTTTGTCTCGGTGCGGGTAACGCGCTGCAGTCGGAAATGCATAGACGCTCCGCGGTTTCGCGGGTAATTTATGCGCGCGCGCGGGCATTATGCGTTGCATAATGTCGCCGAGAGCTTGGCGCGCACACGAAATGCGAACGCTGCTCCCTTTCGTCCTTTGCGACACCTGCGTCTCGCCCTTCCATCCTTTCGCCAGTCCGTCCGTCTATCCATCTGTCCGTTCTTCGTTGCGCACTTCGTGCTCGAAATACCGGCGAACAAAGAATGACTATTCGCACCTCGGCAAAACTTTCCTTAAAACCGCTTAATCGCTTCCCTTAAAGCTCCTGGCCATTCGCCGCGGCCATGTTGAATTGTGACGTCAGAAACGAGGAATTACACGCTGACGATTCCCGCTGAGAAAAATCACTCGGTTATCAGAATAAAGGCATGTTCACTATGTTTGATGATCGTTAGGGAAACAGAGTTACCGTTGCAAATTCACTTCTTATTATTTGTCAGTTTAACAAACATACATTGCCCAAGATACAAATCACATTTGTTCTCGTCCATTTAGGTTAGGTTAGTTGTGCCACCATTAAAAAAATATTGTTTAGAGTAACACGGAAGTAATGGATTATTTGTTTTCATCATGGAGTTATTTACTGTCCCGTATCAACAAACGATTTATCACGGTTACTAGCATCTTGTTTAAATTAGCAAAACATTTTTCTCAGAGCGCTATTTCCAAATAAAAATATATTCATATAAAATATGTCAAACTTTAGATCGTTTCAACATATTTGTAAAATGTATTGAAAATTATTCCTTTTTCTTGATTGTTGATAAATAACTAAAATAAACGTGGCCAAATCATGAGAGGAAAGATAAGTTAAAGAGGAAGGTTGCATGACCAATTTTACGACCATTTATTTGTCGAAAATAATAGTTTTTAAAGTATCTTATAAGTATACTCAAGCGTTCTGAAGTGTTCTTCCATACAAATATCTTTTCATTTGGTAAATCCAAGAATTTTTATTACGTCATTTCTCGTTTATGATATCATCAATCTCCGCGGCGTATACTTAGAAGCCTTAAGAAATCCTATGCGGCTGCAAATACATCTACTACGTCGCGTTATCGCGCACGCAATCAGTTAGACAGACGGGAAAGAAAGTTTGGATTAACCAAATGTCTGGTGAAGTGTGAACAAACCGCAGAATTCCAGGCTGAAGTTATGCTTTTAAAATCAACGAGATTCTGGTCGACCAAACAAGATTCCTGGTTAACCAGAACCTCAACTGGAACAGTTGTAAGCTTTTTGGGTTAACCAGAAATCTTGTTTGGTTAAGCAGTATCTCGTTAACTCGAACAGAATAACTTCAACGGGTAACTTCAATCGAAATTCTGATTTACACGGAATTTCCCCAGGTATTTGGTCAATTCCATCAAATTTTCTTCCCTTGCAGAAAGGGAAGTGATGGATGGAAATTCCAGAGTTGATGGAAGACGCGGAACAGCGTACGAAAATAGTTAACGCGCTCTGCGCGCGATTGATCAGCCAAAAGTTATCACGCGATCTTCATTATTTGCACTCGACAATTTCGCGTAGCGGCCGTGCGCGAAGCAAAATTCCCGACAATGGCTTTTACGCAATATCACAGTTTGAATTTTTCATTTCTATCCAGCGCACGTCTATCATCTCTCGGACGTGTCTGCCGTGTGCGCGCTAGTAAAATCTAATATAATCTAATATCCATAAAGGAGCGAATCTGGCACACCGCGGATGGATAGATTACCTTCGCTGGCGCGGTTGCAATCTAGAAAGTGATAGCCAATCGCAGATAACCGGCCACACAGTTGCCGTAACAGAACCTGAGGCTACGTGCAACAAGAAAATTACGATGTAGCTCTTAGTAAGTAACATTCTCTGGCCGCGCGCGCGGTTACAGGGCGCCATTCCGCGAGCGGTTAAATACCGTATAGTATCGTAGGACGCTATCTCCTCGCGGCGATGGGCTCCGTGTCTGAGAGCGCGTTCTATCTTCCGTTCTTCATGCCACCTGTACTTACCTATCTACCCATCCACCAATCCTCTCGACGGAAATCAGCTTGCGAGAAAGAGAGAGATAGAGAGAGAGATATATATAGGGGGGGGAGAGAGAGAGAGAGAGAGAGAGCGGGTGAGTGGCTTCCGCAGGAGAGTGGCTGTAATGTAGTCTATCGCACAGACAAGGCGCAGATAAAGATAGGAAATCTCGTATAAATCTTGTATAAATCGAGGATAATAAATTCTCCTTTCATACTCCGTGTTAGCCAATGATCCAACAAGTGACGATCAATCAGGGACATCGTTGTGTCCACGCGACGCCGATCACGTGATACCCGGCCAAAGTCCAAGGCTAATCGCCACATAAGAGAAATCATGAAGCGTCTTTTCTCTTTAACGTTTCTTAAGCAGCTGCTGTAACAGCAGCAGCAGCAGCGGCGGCAGCGCAGCAGCACCTTCGGTAAATGGCTAAATCACGTCCGCTATTCGAGAACGCTATCTCGTCGTGCGTGCGAGAGTGCGTTCTCTCTTCCCTCCGTCCTAGCACCTGTACTTCCATCCACCCGCCACCTATACCTACCAGCCACCTACCCACCGACACTCTCTCGGCGGAAGCCGGAGCGAGCGAGCTTACGTGCGAGCGAGAAGGATTTCACCAAGAGGGGCAACCACCCCGTGCGCACGCCAGAGAGAGAGAGAGAGAGAGAGAAAGAGAGAGAGAGAGAGAGAGAGAGAGAGAGAGAGAGAGAGAGAGAGAG